GACACCTGTCGTTCTTTACAAAGGATGGAGACCTTTGGGGCTCATATTTCTACTGGGGTAGAGAGAAGATCTACCAGTCCCAACACGTGTTTACCTAATCTGGCCAGAGGAACCCAGTGCCTCCAGTACCTGACTCCCTGCCGTGACTTTAATAGGTTATCCCTTACCCTGATCCCTGTAGCTCTGGAGCATACTGCTTTCCTGCACCAGTGCACCCATTCTCAGGCACCTTTAACATATCTGTGAATAAGAGCACCTTCTTTCATCCACACCTAAACTAAATGAAGTCTTTTACTTAATCCCTTCCTCACAAACCATGTTTTCTATGCCTTCTGGACACTCTCCACATCATCTCCTAGCAGAACACTCATTCAGATTTCATAGCAAAGACTCTGATCTGCTCTTCACAGAACCACAGAACAGTCTGAACTGGAAGGGACCCACAAGGATTATCGTGTCCAAGTCCTCAGTGAATGGCCCCTATGGGGACTGAACCCACAACACTGCCATTATCAGCACCTTGCTCTAACCAACTGAGCTACTCTCACAAACAGGTTGTCTTCAGCTGGCAAGAAATCAGCATCAGGAAAACAAAAAACTCCAAACCAAACACCAGCCAACAAACTTAAGAGAAAAAAACAAAAAAAAATCTCAAACTTTGAAGTTATTTACTTGATAAATCAACAACAGCTCTTCCCAAACTGCAAAAACAGCTCCAGGGAACGGTGTGGGTCTCTTCCTTCCCCAGGCAATAAGTTAAGCTAGAATTGTTTTAACAGCTCTGGGGAAACATCTTCACTGATAATGGCTCCAGACTGCATCCTGCCCAAATCTCATCTCCCCCGAGAGCTGGAGGTGAAGGAGTCCATCACAGAAAGTATGTGCCCTGACAGACTTAAACTGCATGAGTTTTTGGGATTTGGAACCTTCCCACACAGTTGTTCACTTCTATTACCACCACCTTCAAACTGTTTATTACACCATTCCCAAAAGCCCTGGCACAGAGAAGGTCCCCCATTAAGACAGCACACAAACACATTAAGATGGACCACACAGAGTGGATATGAAGAAGACATTCTCACTTTTAACATATTACTCAAGCTCTGGAATTTTAAACTATTTAAAATCTATGTTAAATTTTGGTGCCTGCAGAGCAGAACAGTTTAGTACTTGACCCAGGGAAAGAAAAAAAAAAAAATAAAAGGAAACAGGCAGATGTGTATTTAAATATATTGATTTTGCTCTGTAGAGATGACACAGAGTACTGTCCCACAAGGCTGCGGGATGGAACATTATTAGAAGTGCCATCAATGCTCACAAGCTCCTGTCACGGCAGTTTGCAGTAGTTGGTCGGTAAGTAACTGCTTCCGTCCTTCGGTCCAGTTAAAAACAATCACATCATCAAAGGTGGCAGTGGAACGTGGATAACGTTTCTGCAGAACTCCACAACACGGCCACGGTACGGTTGGATGAAAAGATACTCCCTCCATTCTCCACGCCTATTTCTCCCAGGAAAGCTGAGCATTCAGGGTACTGAACAGGCTGCTTTGTGCTCAGAGGGAAACTCTCCTCACTAAATGACACAGCACAGCACCACAAACTTAATGAGTCCTGGGGCGGGACATCAAAAACTACTTGCAAAACACACATAAACTTTTTCAGTGGCTTGCTCCCCTCCACATACGAACACCGGCATATTCGAGCACACAAAATTGGCCAAGGAGAGTTCTCTTGCATCAGCCCCGTTCATCCCAGCTCTTCTGCGGCTACTTTCTAAAACATCTGGGGCCAAGATTCGGTCACGACTGGAGCCTGCGCCCCTTCTCCCCGCGGGGGCTTCCGTTCCGGCTTCAAACTTCCACCCTGGCTCCTGCCCACAGCACGGCTCGTCCTACTGAGCCCCCCGACCCC